AACAAAAAAAAAAAAAAAAAAAAAAAAAAAGTAGATTGATCAAGAGGAAAGTTGGGTTTAAGAAATTTATCCCACAGTGGCCAAAAAGTAACCCTCAAACAATGATTTATACCCGGATTACAGCTTTTCATAATTCGCAAACTGTACATCATTTACTTGTCCAGTCTTTTGAATGGAAAGTGTGTGTGTTAGAAAATTATTCTTTTAATAAAGTTTACAAGAAGAAAATACTGCTGGCCATCGTTTTTTCACACAAATGAAAAAGGCATTTTTATAGGACAAGCTCTTTCTGTCTGACTGTGTTGTTCTCTGGGGAGCGAGGATAGTGAGGGAGATGATCATCTCCACTGAGGCAGATGGAGAGCAATTAATGCCTTAATGGAAGTGTAATTAGCCCTAGAGGTCTCTGCTGCTGTAACCCTTCAGAACAAGAATGACAGATGAAAACCTCCACACTTAACTCTTTCTAGTTTCCACACTGGGCTCTGAGGAACACACAGTTACTAGACACAGAATGCTCATTTCTCTCACTTACCAGAATGTGTCCTAAGATGCCCTGTGAGCGCATCTCTTCTCTGGCACGCATAGTTGCAGAGGTGACACTTAAAAGGTTTTTCCCCTGTGTGCAGTTTAATGTGGCGGAGGAGGTTACCTTTCTGAGTAAAAGATGCCCCACACTGATTACACTGGAATGGGCGTTCACCTTTAAAAAAGGACAAAAAGGAGATTTCTGATCACAGACAAGTGGAGAAGCATATGCACAGATTAGATGCCTAGAGCAAAAGCTAATCTTTTAGATAGTTTCTGTTCATCTTGAGATCAGTTGGGAGTTACATTTCAAAGTAAGCATAAGACATGCTTATGGAATCTTCCCTCTAGAAGAGAAAAAGCACCCACCTAGCAAGGCTATTTTAAGTATCATCTGGAATCAGAACAAAGAAACAAGAGTGGCTCTAGAGGTGCTTTCTAGAGTCCAGTTTTTATATTACTCAGGATTCTTTTAATGTAATCTCTGAAAAAGGAATCACAGACTAAAGTCCTAATAAGAGCCGGGCTCAGTGGCTCAGCCTGTAATCCCGTGCCTTAGGAGGCTGAGGTGAGTGGATTGCCTGAGCCCGCGGGTTCGAGACCCGCCTGGGCAACTTGGTGAGACCTCATCTCTACAATAAAACAAAAAATTAGCTGGGTGTGGTAGCGTATGCCTGTAGTTCCAGCTACTTGGAAGGCTGAGGCGGAAGGATCACGGGAGCACAGCAGGTCGAGGCTGCGGTGGCCGGGAGTGGCTACTGCACTCCAGTCTGGGCGACAGAGTGAGACTCCAACTCAAAAAAAAAAAGTCCTAATAAGGTGTCAAGAGCCAGAAATTCTTCTTTTTAAAGTCTTCACATCAGAGGTCAGATGGAATCTGACTCAGTGGGACTGTTATGTTTGTATGCATTTCTATAGATTGTCTGTTTATTGTCGGAAGATAAATTCTTTAAAGCTGGTAATAAAAACTATATCCTTTCACCAACCAAATTTGAATCCAATAGAGTAAGGAGATTTACCTTTATTGAAAGTGTTATACAAAAATGTATGAAAGATGGCTAAGAAGCAATCACATAATTCAATCCTACCTATAAACTAGAGAAAAAGTATTTAGCTAACTTAGAACACTGTGCTCTCAGCAGTCTTTTTTTATTCATAGCACTTGCAAGATTTTGCCAAATTCATGGTGAAGCAGGGATAAAAGTCATGGAGTAAGTGGCAATGCAGAGAGAGCAAGAGACACCAAATTATAGCAAGAATCAATGGAAGTAATCAAAATGTCCACCTGATATCTGATATGAAGACTTTAACAAGTAACCAAATTTCACCACTTCATTTCTCACATGGCTGCATTAGGAGAGTTTTCAGAAGAGTGAAAAAAGAAGACTATTTACCAGTATGGCTCCGCTTATGAACCATTAAGACATTGAAGCTAATGCAGGATAATCCACACACATCACAGTTCATCTTTCCACTGGCTGGCCTGCCACTGTCATACGAGACAACATGTCTCTCCAACTTAATGTTTTCATACTCATTATAGTCTCTTGAATAGCTGTAAGGGATTTCAGGCTCTTCTGCATTTCCCATGGACTCTGGCTTTAAAACATTCTCGTCTCTTTCACTGTATTCATCTTTCACTTTCATCGAATCATCTGCAGGGAAGAAAATGCAAGAAATGAACAATGACTGTACTTGGAGCTATTGAAGCAGTTCAAAAAGCAGAGACCCACAACTGACAGTTAAATACCAAATAAAGCTGACATAACATTGTACATTTAAAAACAAGAAAACCCCATTAGGATAGTCACACATCATAGAACCATAGTCAGAGGAAAACACACATACACACACATAAAAAGAGATGAAGTGTTTTAGGCTATCCAGAAAATTAGTGATAATAGAATTTAGCTTAAGATTGCTCAAAGTCACCATGAAACACACATTTTGAGCAACACTTCTCTCTACTGGGGGAGAAGAAAGGTTCTCAGATCTAGTATCTTTTTTGGTGGCTGCAATGAAAAAGGCAGGGTGAGGCCAGGCGAGGTGGTTCATACTTGCAATCCTAGCACTTTGGGAGGCTGAGGCGAGAGGACTGCTTGAGTCCAGTAGCTCAAGACCAGCCTAGGAAACATAGGGTGACCCCATCTCTACATACACACACACACAAATTAACCAGGCATGGCGGCGTGCACCTTAGTTTCAGTTATTCAGAGGGCTAAGGCAGTAGAATTGCCTGAGTTCGGGAGGTCAAAGCTACAGTGAGCTGTGATCATGTCACTGCACTTCAGCCTGGGTGACAGAGACCCCAACTCAAAGAAGAAAAAAAAAGACAAGGCGATGTACTCTTAAGTTTTAAGGAGAAAGTACTGTTTTAATCTTTCAAATGCCACTCAGATTGAGAGGTGAATGGTGAACATGGTTTTTCTGATTTTAAGCTATGCTTTGCCTCTTTCCCTTCCATGTATATGAACTGTTAAACATGTCTTATCTCTCTGTCTCTCTTGGAACTGATAAAGACACAACATTGGAAGAGGAAGTTGTCAGTACTAGTGAAATTGTGTTGAGAAAGATAAAAGGAAAGTAATTCTTTCATATAAGCTAAGGAGCCACTTCCATCGACACAGATAAGTAAGGGGAAAGACATCTATACCAAAGTTAGGGAGGACTAAACTCAAGACCCTAGAACTGTAGGATTGGTTAGGAAAGAAAGGACTGGCCCAAGTGAGTTGGCTGACCAAGTACTATCTTCTTTTTGCTTTGAGTAAGAGTCTTGCTCTGTTGCCCAGGCTGGAGTGCAGTGGCTACGATCATGGCTACCACAGCCTTGACCTGCTGGAGTCTGGCGATCCTTCTGCCTCAGCCTTCAAAGTAGCTGGAACTGCGGGCATGCGCCACCATGCCTGGTTAATTTTTTTATTTTTGTAGAGACAAGGTCTCGTCATGTTGCCCAGGCTGGTCTCGAATCCCTGGGCCCAGGCAATTCTCTTGACTCCAGCCTCCACCTTCTAAAGTGCTGGGATTACAGGCGTGAGCCACCACACCTGACCTGTCATCTTAAAAAGAGGTGTAACATGAGCTGCAACATATATAAATATTTATTTATTTATTTACTTTTGAGTTGGAGTCTCACTCCATCGCCCAGGCTGGAGTGCAGTGCCTCACTCATAGCCACTCCAGTGTCGACTTGCTGGGTTCCAGCTATCCTTCCACCTCAACCTTTCAAGTAGCTGGAAATACAGGCGTGTACTGCCGTACCCAGCTAATTTTTGATTTATTAGAGACAAGGTCTTGCCAAGATGCCCGGGCTGGTCCCGAACCCGCGGGCTTACGCAATCCACTCGCTTTGGCCTCCCAAAGTGCTGGGATTACAAGCTGAGCCACTGAGTCCAGCCATAAATAATTATTTTTAAAGGCACTGTAATACTCTTAATGAAGAACATAAGAACAAATGAAGATCATGTGAAGAATATGAAGAATAAAAAGAATGAAGGCAAATACATGAACTTAAACTAACACTAACAAAACCTAAACATTTGCCTGATGTAAGAATAATAAAATTTCTAAGGGATTTTTCATATATAAAATATGCTATATAAATGCTTACTTTTTCAACCATTGGTCCTTAAAAATTGGAAATTATACTTTCCCATTAGGAACCACAAATTGATGGAAGAGCTAGAAGGGAATTTAGAGATCATCTGATCCAGCCCTTTGTTTTCTGAGATGAGGAAATCTGGGAGCAGAAATGTTTTGTTTTATTTTTTGAGCCAGAGACTCACTCTGTCACCCAGGCTGGAGGACAGTGGTATGATCACAGCTATCATAGCCTCGACCTGCTGGGCTCAGGCAATCCTTCTGCTTCAGCCTTCAAATTAGCTGGAACTACAGGTGTGTGTCACCAGACCTGGCTAATTTTTTGATTTTTGTAGAGATGCCAAGTTGCCCAGGCTGGTCTCAAACCCCTGGGCTCAGGCAATCCTCTTGCCTCTGCCTCCCAAAGTGTTGGGATTACAGGCATGAGCCACCGTGCACAGCCAGAGATTCAGTAATTTGTCCAATGTTACACAGCCAGTTACTAGCAGAGGTAAGATTAGAATGCTAAACTTAGCCTTGAACTATCAGTTACTTGCATTTGACTACTAGACAAACAAGGTCTAAGTGGTTTCTTTTTTTTTTTTTGAGTTGGAGTCTTACTCTGTCACCCAGACTGGAGTGCAGTGGCACGCTCCCAGCCACTGCAGCCTTGACCTGCTGGGCTCCAGTGATCCTTCCGCCTCAGCCTCTAAGTGGCTTCTTAACGATTGTATATCCACACCCTCCCATCATGTAGGATCTATACTTCTCATGGTGTAGATGTTAAAACCCAACACACTCTGAAAAAAAAAGATATTTTTAAAAACTACATTCCTTCCAAAAAAACATCAGTACATGTTGCTCCTGTTGCCACACAGGAGGAAGTACAACTGCAGCTGTGCCTGGCTTGCTACCTTCAACCCAAGTTTCAATTTTCACTTCTATCAAGGTTAGCTTTCATCTATATTAACTGTGTTTGCTTACTAGAGCAAGACAGGGCCTAACCACTATCAGAGGAGCCGTGGCTGCCACGCTGTTCGCTGCTTCTCGCCACAGTTCATGGTTCACAACCTTTCACTCTTTGACTAGCAGAGATGTAGGGCTGTAGGATAAGTCCAACACGTTTCAAATTTGCCCATCCTATGCATCTGGGTTATGTACATCAATTGACATCAGTTTCCTACTTGGAAAGAAGTTCATGTTCTTTTTTCTCTGGACAGGGCTTATTTTCAGATGGAATTTTTTTGCTTAAGTAGTTTTTGATTTTTTAATTTTTTTAAAGAGAAGGATGCACCTGAGGCTTGTACCCTCCTTCCTTCCTCCATTACTCCAGCTGTGGGTAATATCCCACCAAAGCTTGAGTGCTCTTCAGTTTGCATGTAGGCGTTTAAAAGAACCTCAACGGAAAATTTCAGCTACTGAAAACTAAAAACAGCAGATAGAGTCAGCAGAAAAGGATCCTCTCCATTTTGGTTAGAAAATATGAATGTGACCAGACTCAGGCCACTTCATGGTCACTAAACATTGAAAAATAGTAAGATTGGCAACCCCCTCTGGTCTCTTCCCACTGTGGGAGCTTTTCTGTTCTCTCTCTCTCTCAAGTCCTGTTTTCTCACTTAAAAGAAAAGAAAAGAAAAGAAAAAAACAGTAAGATTAATGTGTTGGGTCTTTCTGAAAACAGAGGATAAAAGAGAGCTGTTCCTTTCCTCAGGATTTTGGCTTAGTAGGCTTGACCTGGAACTTAACACTACACCAACTTAACTCGAGATCAGATCTTGGCTTCGGTCTTTTAGGATTCAGCTATAGAGCAAGGAGGACTGTTAAAAAGACAAGTTTGGTTTTTTTTTTTTTTTTGAGTTGGAGTCTCACTCTGTCGCCCAGACTGGAGTGCAGTGGCCACTCCCAGCCACCGCAGCCTCGACCTGCTGGGTTCCAGCGATCCTTCCGCCTCAGCCTTCCGAGTAGCCGGAATTACAGGCGCGCACTACCACATCCGGCTGATTTTTTGATTTATTGTAGAGATGTGGTCTCGCCTGCCCAGGCAGGTCTTGAACCCGCGGGCTCAGGCAATCCACTCACCTCAGCCTCCCAAAGGCGCGGGATTACAGGCTGAGCCACCGAGCCCGGCAAAAAAAATATAAGTTTAACAACTTGTCTTTTTAACTGAGACCCAGGGTTGTAAGAAAAAGCATAAGAATCACATGAACAGTGCATTCAAGGTCCCTTGGGCTTAGTGGACCAAAAAAATTCCTCATACAGTTGCTGAATTGCCTTTGGAACCTTACTAGTTTTAGATAAATGACCTGGTGACCTCTCTGCATGGTTACTGGGGATCAGCAATGTATTATGATTTACTATGAGAAAGCAAATAGGGTTGATTATTAGAGTAAATTAGAATCTAAGGTATGAATGAGATTCCTGAGAGATGGTTGGGTTTAGCACTCAGCCTCCAAATATAGTCCATCAAAACACACAGAAAAGATACTGGTCTGCTCTAATGACTTATTTCCACTCCTTGGAAGACTTATTAGAGCAGAGGAAAGGGTGGTACTCTCCTTAGAACTGTTAGAAAATATTAATAGCCGGGCTCAGTGGCTCAGCCTGTAATCCCGCGCCTTTGGGAGGCTGAGGTGAGTGAATTGCCTGAGCCCGCGGGTTCGAGACCCGCCTGGGCAGGCAAGACCTCATCTCTACAATAAATCAAAAAAATTAGCTGGGTGTGGTAGCACACGCCTGTACTTCCAGCTACTCGGAAGGCTGAGGCGGAAGGATTGCCGGAGCCCAGCAGGTCGAGGCTGTGGTGGCCGGGAGCGACCACTGCACTCCAGTCTGGGCGACAGAGTAAGACTCCAACTCAAAAAAAAAAAAAAAAGAAAATATTAATGAACATGTCTAAAATCAAATCTTTAAACGCAAACTTTCTTCTATTTATGACTCATTTATGTTCACAGATGGCACCTCTCTTCTTCCCATCTTCAAGTCCTGAAACTATGGAATCTTTTCCCTTTCAGTCTCCACATCAAGTCAGTCTCCAAGTTCTATCAACTCTGTGTCTTCAGATCCTCGAGATGCCAACTCC